TAGCGCAGATAGCCCTCGTGTAGCTTTGCGCGAAATTCAAAACAAACAAACAAACCAAACATGCTCGCACTTTCAGCCGTGGGGGCATTATAATGTGGTAACTCCCACTATTCGTTGGTAAAAGAGTAGCCCAAGAGTTGGCGGTTGATGGTGATGAGTAGCTGCCTTCCCTCTAGTCTTTCACTGCTAAATTAGAGACGGCTAGCGCAGATAGCCCTCGTGTAGCTTTGCGCGAAATTCAAACGAAACCTGTTGTGCTTCAAACTAACTTGTTCTGTCATAAAAAGAAAGGAATATTAAACTTAATATTGTTTAACACAAACTGGAGTTTGTTATGAGACATTTCTATAAATGTAAAAACAAAAAATCACGACCTATACCTCCAGAATGTAACTTTATTAGCTCAATATTTCGCTATTACAGCTTCGTCAGGAGCAATACGATATACTACAAGTTCCCTATTAAAGTTCAAAGAATTTTATCTATGGGAATTCTAGTTTAAATACGACTTAGTAGTGTAATGAACTTAATGATACACTGAACGTCCAGTCGCAAAACAAAAAATAATAAACTAGAATATGTACTGAAAAGGCTCTTGTGAAAGCAAGTAAAATATCTTAATTGTCATTATTATAGAAAAGGAGCTTGATTTTAGTATGGCAATTTTTACAGATCTGTTAATAAAATATTTTCATAATAAGAATCCATATTATTATTAGTTTCTTCACAGGGGGAAATAATTATTCTAATGAATCCCTCAATGACTGTGCCTTTTGGGTGATCAGTAAAGGACAATATATTACACTAATGCCTATAGCAATCTTGATAGTAGTTATTGAAAAACAAATGGGAGTTTTCAATTTAGAGCAATGTACATAGATGAAGAAATAGGAAAGAAAGAAACGTGTGAAAGCACTTCTTGAATAACCATTCGAATAGAATGAAGTAAATACAAGATTCCAAGAAACTAACTGTGTACCGTTGTTAGAAACTAACGTTTATCGTTAATATCACAAAAGTCCATCATATTAAAATGTTTGTTCTATTGAAGAACCGTTTTCCACCAATCAAGCATTTGTGTAGGGGTCTATCGATCACTTGTTAGAGAAAGTAGTACTTTTATTTTTATTAATGGCTATATAATAGAGCTTGTTTCACAAAGGCTGTACTAAATTCGTAGAAGTAACATTAAAATGTTTAAAACCAACATAAAACACCTATTTGCAATACAAAAAACAACAACACTCAACTGAAATTGACATAAATGCAATAATTTCCCGAATGATTTCGTAATAGAAAAAGAAAAATTGGATTTTTTTGTGTCAGAAGTTCGAATGTTATAAAGAAGTTAGCAGTTTGTTTATGTGACAGCGAATTCGAACGTTTAAAAAAACGTGGCTAGAAGGAAACTGTTATGTACTGGGCAATTACGTCATGAAGAAATCCAATATTTAAAACGATTACGTCTTAAACTACTTGCGCTAGAAAAACTAAATTTCATCAGAAGCACATTAAGAAACATAGGATTTATTCAGGAAGTTTTAACCTGTTACAATATATATATATATATATATATTAT